ACTGCTTTGCCAAAAACTATACGGGTGGAGTCTGCAGCACTGAATGTCGCAAACTGGTCAAACACAACTTTCATCACATAGTATAACAGACAAAAACTATCTTAGATTCTTTCGATGTTAGAATTAGGTCAAGTCAAAGCTCCTTAGTGCTCCACATTTGCACTTCTCTTTTTCAGCATACATTCAAGCAACCATGACATACAACACTGACTCCACTGTCTAGGTTCGTGCAAAAAGGATGTCTCAATCGATCACACTGGCTTATTCATGAGTCATCACTCTAACTTCTCTATTTACTACAGTTCTTATGATGTGGTGGAAAACAAAATGCACGAGCCCTGAAGATTCTTTGAGTTCCTGAGTGGTTCCTGACTCCTCTGTTCCTGGGGCCATGTGGATGAAAAGGCCTGATTGTCTGCAGCCCTCTCTGCTCCCCGTCTCTTCTCGCGGTGTCTGTGCTAGCATGTCAGAGAAGCCTGTCTGCTGACCAGGAGGCTGTTCCACTGAATTAAAATCAAAATGAGGTTAATGGGGCTCACTTTCCTCCACTGTCTGTTCCCACTGACACTGGAGTTTGATTGACATGATATCAGACTACTAACTGACAATTAGCGGATCAAAAAAAACAACCTCTGCCCACGGTGCTGTGCAACATGAGTCACGGTGAAACTCGGCAATCACTACAATCAACTCCCGATGTTAGACACTGGTCAACTGTAAGGCTTCAATTTAGAGCTGAACTAATTGGCAACATAACCTGAGTTGCACTACAAACCATTTGACCAAGCAACAGACAGCGGATCCGTGTGGTTTACAGCAGGGACTACAGCAAACTGCACATTACGTTGCACGTGTAAACACTGTCATGGTGACTCCTGCTCCGCCTCCCCGTTCTGCCTCTTCACCCTCAAACTCCCTCATTCTTGGCAGCGTGTGCTCTTAAATTTTCCACATCCTGTCATGGCTAACCAGCTGTCTGTCCACACGTAGTCGTCCTCTCATAGAGAACAGTTTGTTTATTTTCAAATTTCTCACTACAAATTCGCAGTTTCAGCCATTTCTGCGCTTCCATTCCTGTCTACCTTACCGTCCTGCTTATGGTTCTGCAGCTTCTTGTTAGACGGTTTTTATGTTTCTTCATGCTGCCTGCTCCATCTGATTTGTTTGTCTGACTTGCGTGTCCTCATCTAACGCCACTAATTTCTATGTATAAAGCTATTAACTGACCTTAACCACTTTTCACAGAGGCTGGTTTGACATTAGAGTCCTTTAATCTGCTGCCAGCCTTCGCACAACAGTAAAAGAAAAAAAGTTTTTAAAAAATTGATAGACTACAAACACAGTCCACAAAGTTAGCTGTAAAGGCAAAACTGTGTGTTTTGATGTAGTAGCCTTTAAATAAATGCACGCTCCAGCACAAAAAAAACATCTCAGCATCTCTAAAAACGTGAAAACTCCTCCTCTGCATTAACACATTGCAACTCTACAATATAAATAGAAGACATTTATTTTGGCCGGTCAGGAGTTTGCATGTTCTCTGTGTGCAGAGATGGGAGGTAACAAAGTACAAATACTTCATTTGTAGGTTTTCAGGTATCTGTACTTTACTTGAGTATTAACATTTTACTTTTACTCCCTACATTTGAACACAAATATCTGGACTTTCTACTCCTTACATTCTCAAAACTGGCTCGTTACTTGTTCCAGCCTCCGCAGATGACGACATGACGTAGAAGACGTAGCAACAAACGTCTTTGTCTGTCCCAGCGGCGTGCAATTTGTCACTGAAGCTCAACACACCCTGCCTGCCTAAGCTGCCTGTGAGAGGCTTTTTAGCACCGCAGGACTGATATTCAGACCCAAAAGGGCCCGTCTTCATTCAGAGAACTTTGAGAACCAGCCTTTGCTGAGGCTCAATAAAGGATTTTGGTAGTCTTGAAGAGACGAGTTGTTGATTATAACGTTGAATGTTCATAATGTTGGTCAAATGGAAAACTGTCTAGTGATGTTTTTCTCTGTCCCAGCCCTGTGCAGGTTCTTAAAGGATGAAAACAATTCGATTTTGTGTGCTTAAAACTTGTGTGCAAAAGAGGCATTGTGTGTCATCAAAGCTAGAAATTCATTTTTACTTTTTACTTTTGTACTTAAGTACATTCCTAAACCTGTACTTTTTTACTTTCACTTGAGTAAAGGATTTGAATCAGTACTTCTACTTTTCCCAGAGTCTATTTTTACACAAGTATCTCTACTTCTACTTAAGTAAAGAATGTCAGTACTTTTGCCATCTCTGTCTCTGTGCCTGTGTGAGCTTTTTTCCCCCCCGAGTGCTTCAGTTTCCTCCTACACTCTGAAGACGTGCACGCCAGGGTAATTGGTGATTTTAAATTGGTCGTAGGTGTGAGCGCAGATGTGCACGCTTGTCTCTTTGTGTTGGCTCTGTGATGAACTGGCGTCATGTCTGGGGTGTGTCCCACCTCTACCAGTGTCAGCTGGGATGGACTCCAGCCCCCACGACCCTGGGACGAAGCGGGTACAGCAACTGGATGTGTGGACGTTTGTCTAACATGTCTTTGAGACTTGTCGTATACTACCCAGGCACAGGAGAGTACAATTTGGAGATAAACAACTAGTCAATTAATCAGTTAATTTATCGACCAATAAAGAAAGATAAATAAATCAGCGACTACTTTGGAGTCGTTTTTCAAGCACAAATTGTGAAAAATGTGTATGTCATGTATCATGTAATCTAAATGAATATCTTTGGGTTTGGTCAGACAAAAAACGAGACACAAGTAGATTACTTGCAGCCCAAGTGCATTCATCTTCTAACATTCTGGTCTGCCAAGTCCTTCTCCTGTGCTGTCCATATCAATCAAATCAAATCAAGTTTGTTGTCATTTTGCTGTACATACACAGTAGTACAGGCAAGATGAGAGAGCGTTTCTTTAGGATCCAATAACTTAAAGCGATTTAAATAAAGAAGTGTTTGTATATCTGGATCAGCAGTTCAGCATTCTGACAGCTTGTGGCATGAAGCTGGAGGTTCTTCCTTTAATGCTCCAGAAACGTTTGCCTGATGGTAGCAGTTCAAACAGTTTATGGAGAGGGTTTAAGAGGTTTCTTTTATATATATAATTAACTCATTAATGCATTATAAGTTTAAGTTGTGATATACTGCGGAAATGTTTACAACCAGTGCTCCTCTGTTGCACTGTGTAGTCTGTGCCGGTCATTTTACATGACTTCACACTTCAATCGCAAAGTAATAACACATATAAACAAACAGAGGAAAATCCCAGATGCTTTGTCAGCATCTCCTGCACTCGCGTCAATCCACAAGTAAATGTTTGTGCAACGGGCTGCGTGTGTGTGTGTGTGTGCGCAGAACAAGTCATTGTTCTATAGGTCCTGTTCCTGTCCTGGTTTCCCATGATGCCACTGTTAGAAAGTGTCTACATGAGGAAAACAGATCTGCTCAGTCCTCCTTAAACTCTGATTGATTGCCTGTTAGCGTTGTGTTCTATTATTATTACTTTGCCCGGAGCGATTCTCATAAACCTGAACAAAGCACTGATAGAGTGAGAGCGCATTCCAAGTATTATTCCCAGTATAAGCACATAATAGACAAATAACATGATTAGAATAACTGAGAGGAACAACCACCAAAGTTTTCAAGGGGCAACAAAAGTAGCACTTATTAGCTGCTTGTAAACAACGTTTATGCAGCAACTTCTTTATTTATATCGGTGATGCTCAAAGCGGGGCCTAGAATGGCTTGAGAGGGAAGTTGCAAGTTACAAGACATAAGCCTTTAGATACAACACATGGCGGTCCTGTGGGTTACACTGCCTTGAATCATTGCTCTAAGTAATCCCTAAAAGAAACTACTCGTCCATATTTGGCAGTTTCCTCTTGATAAAACATCAATGACCATGAGTCACAGGATGAAATTTGCAATTTTCAACCTCTGTGTAAAAGCACCCAGTGTAAAGGGCAACACAGCTCTCACTGTCCCGAACATCTTTTGCAACTCTTCCTCTTTCAGGAAATCAAGTGGCGATCAAGGAACACACCCACGTTCTGTCTCACACTTTCACACACCTCTTCATTCATTCTCTAATCGTACACTTTTAACTTCCACCTTAACTCTAAGATACACACGGCTTATTCCAAAGGCTAGTTTATAGCTAGATTACGATGTTTAGACACCTGTATTTGCACTTGCAGCACACTGAATGTCTTGTGTTGCAGGAAAGATAATTATCCTCCTTATCCAACTTCTGCCTTTACTGTTTCCAGTCTTTTTCAACCTGACTTAAATCACCTATAACTGACCTCTCATAAAAGGCCCTGAGCCATCTGTTGCACAATCATCATTCAAGCAAGAGAAATTAGTTTTTTGAAGCCCAAAACTGAAAGTAAGCCAAATAGGTGCAGCAACACGGAGGTTGTGGTGTCGCCAAAATATCTGAACGCAGGGCTCAAGCAGCTGCACAAGCCTAAATAAGACTGAAACACCTCCTGCAACCACAAACCGCTCATTCTCACACATATACAAACAGATATTGCGATAAGGAAGTGAGCCCCACCCAGGGCCTTTAAAAGATGCTGAAGATGCTTGTGTGTGTGTGTGTTGTGTTTGTAAGAGCGACAGGATATTTCATTCGACAGAAATTTCTTCTTTTTCGTCCCAACTAACTGGAAGTAGCCACAGTAGGTTTTACCAAAAGTGACGCATCAGATATTGTAATATACGACGCGTCTGCATGTGTGAAGGCTGGAGGTGGAGGTTTACGGCGTGTGGTGCCTGGGAACCAACAGCTTTTATGATCTAACTTAGTGTCATGCAAACAATGACTAGATAGAAACACTTCATGCTTAAATGTGTGTGTGGGTTTTTTTTTTTTTAAACCAGTGTCGCTATTTCCAGTTTGTTTTCTTGCATGCATGCAACAAACGCCTACTGACACAGAAATGATGGGTAACGAAGCATCGCTCACCTTGTACACCTGACCATAGGTTCCATTGCCAACGACTTCAACCAACTCAAAGATACCTGCAGGATCCTAGAAACAAGAACACAGGGATGAGAACTGCACAGGAGTGATATAAAACAGCACGTTAGGTAACTTTTGCATGAGTTAGTTCACCCGGCACAATAGCATTTTATATTTCTGTAGCCCCTGACCTAAAATTGAAGTATTAAGGTCATATCCAGTGACTTTCAAACCATTTCTTGTGCACAGCTGAGCAAACAGCCAGCTAAATACGTGACTGCACAGCACTATAGGCACATTTCAGCAAAGGCACAATGCAACCGCTTCATGCCAAGTAAAACTATGACAAACAGCTCCGTAAGCTCAGCGCCAAGCGTAGATGGGGACCAACAATGCAGAGTTATCCTTGGATGGGGACTGAGGAAATGGGTTAGGGTTAGGAATATGTCTACTTTTGAGGTCACTGACTATAGAGGCCACATAAAGACAACGTTTTTCAGTCACATTGCTAACTATATGAACTAAGAAAAGTCAAGTTAAGTCAAGATTTAGGTGAAATAAGCTCAAAAACTAAACAAATATGCCACTAACTTAGCACTGGGTTTCATTTTGGGAGGGTTTCTATCATTAAACACGCTGTGTGGATGTCCACCACTTGTTGCATGTCAACTTTTCAGCACCAAAAAGGGAAAAAAAAATCCTGTTTGCAGCTTGTAAACTTTAACAGAACAGAAACGTTACAGGACAAAACCCCTCGACATGTCACACACACACACACATAGTTAACACAACTTTTCGTAACAGCAAACACACTGACTGTCGACCGTTACACAAGGTAAAGAAAAGAAAAACAACCCTCAGTGAAGTTGTTGCTAAAAAAGAAAAAAAAAAAAGAAGCTGCCGTTAAGTTTGAAGCGACACCCACCACCAGCAGCACCACATCCTACACTGTTTACTCAAACATTTGGTTTTTAAAAAAACGGACGACAGCGGCTCTGAACTCACTCGTAAAGCGGCGAGGTCAATGCTGTCCAGACTCCGGGTGGTGTTTTCTCTCGACATCGCTGCCACTAACTTTTGTCAGCGTGCTGATGTTTGTGTTGAAGACATGGACGGTCGGACTTTCTCCCCCTGACGCTACGAACTAACGGCTTTTCCTCCGCTCGGGTCCATTCTGAAGTTTTTAGCTAGCAGCGTCAAGCTAGCGGAAACGACCAGGCGGCATCCGGTCGCGCCTTTCGCAATAAGGGCGCGTTGCTGTGATTTATTTTTGTGGGGGTTTTTAGTTCTGCTCCGCTAAGAATAGATAAAATATATCTTACCATGAATGCTATATTAATAATTAATTACATTTAAATTATAAAAAATATTTAACGGTTTACAATACTGTCTCAGACACAAGGTTTACTCTTTCAACTTGACAGCCTAATTGCGAAATCAAAAACCGCCGTTTCCGGTTATGTTTCCTGCTTGACACTATTTAGTTTGCTCGTGAGAAGAGATTTTTTTTTTTTTTAGCACGACTCAAAGAAAAAAAAAAAAAAACTTGACATCTAGTAAACCCTCAAAAATGAGGAAGAACCTTTGTCTTACTTATCCCCTGCTCCTACAGTATGTATTCTGACCCAAGAAAGAAAAAAAAAGAAGAGGTAGTAATATACAAAAATTAAAAAAAAATCTGTAACCACTTTTCCACCTTTTTTTTGGCAATTAGTATACTCATCAAAGCTAAACTGAAAGTGTGCATTTGTCTTGTTGCTGCTCCAGCATCCACTTGCGATAGCTTGAATTTATTACTTATTAATAAATTACATTCTACTTTATTGTCATCGCACTCAAGACAACAAAATGCAGTTTAACATCGAACCAGAAGAGCCAAAGACGCAGTAGAAGTACAGTGCAATGCAAGAAGAGGAAGGAAAGGGCACTACAAATGTTCTAAGATGTATACAACATGAGCTGTATTAGATATATGAATATCCAAGATGCATAAGTCATGTGTATAGATGAAGCAGGATTAGTATGTACAGTGTGATACAGTTTTAACAGGATAAACATAATGAATAGGGTGGTAGGAACACAATAAATATGGAAATAAAACAAGCACGATAAATAACAATATAAAGACATATTAATGTAGCGATGAAGACAGGGATAAATGATAGTATGAACAGTTTAAACACTATAAACAATATGAATAGCAGATGTGTTATTTGTTAGTGTGTGTCTTGCTAGGATGCAATATATTGTATTTTAACTCCTATTGTAGCTTTTTTTTTTTTTTACATAAAAGTTGAAAACATCAGCATAGCAGTTTTAAATGACATGTTTGAAAAGTAGAAATGTGATTAATAATCTGAGTTATTATTGGGGTACATGCTTCACTCATTAATGTCAACAGTTACATCTGTCTGCTCCTGCTTTGGGCATTAACGTAGTACCCATTCATCTGCTGAACCCAAAGCATTTCCTTTCACATCATTTTCACTTGTTGTGGGTCCATTTTTCACTACAATATAATGTCTATGGAAACCACAACAAGAAGGAGAGAGAACTCAAAAATGTCTTCTGTGCAACATGACAACGTTGTAGAGAAAGAAAAACACAAAAGCTCGGTTTCATTTATTATTTGTTTTTATAAAAATTCATAAAACCTGGAAATGGCACAACAATGGGGGCTCCACATACTACAGATATTAAACGATTTACATTTTTATAACCTTTACAACCCATTCATGTTCACACTACTCTGTACATCAGCTCCAGAAGGATGTTTCACCACCCTGAATGCATCCTCCAACAACGTGCTGATACCGTGCTGCTCTTTATACCATTTTTGAACCATGCTGTATAGATTTTAATGCGCCAGTGCATCATTTTTCTCTCAGTCTCCTCTCTGCTCTGTTTAAACACAGTTTGCTGTTTAGCCAAGTATTCGCTGGGTTTTTTGTCACTTGAGTGTTGGTCACAGCTGAGTCACTCATGACATGTCAGTTGTCCAGCTGTGGTTTATTTTCACAGCATCTGACACAAACGGTTTCTTTTTGGTGAGTTGTTAAATGAGACATGATGAATAGAATGGTATGTTGGTGAAATATTGGGATTTTTGGCTTGGATTTAGGTCATTTTCCCGACAAATTCGTAGCTTTTGTGAAGACGTTTCAGGTTTCAGATGGTGTTGCTCTTGCCAGGACAATACAGAAGCAAGAGACCCAGAAAGTTTCTTGTAATTTAACACATTTTAAACTGTTTTGTCAAATTTAAAGTAAAATCTGTGATGTCCTAATGCAGTCAGTCTCCTAAAATTTGTGCGGTCTTTATTGAGGACTTTTTGCA